AGTGTTAATGATGTGAAGGATAACGTCACCGATAGATGGGAAAGCAGTTTTCAGCATGCGAATGCAGACGCCATCAGACGCACAGGCGGCAGAATTGCGCATATTGAAAACGGTGTGACCGAGTTCACCGAGAGAGATAGGTCTGGGCTTAAATCTACCGGTTACGACACGCGGCAAACGGCCAATTTGCTTAACAACTGGATTTTGGTCACGGATCTCTGTAGCGACGCGGGGACCCACAGAAACGAAAAAAGAATTTAAAACGTCAGCCGATACATCAGGTTGAACACTAGGTCCGTCTTTCTTACCAGCCACAACCGACCTAATACTTTTCCACACCTTGTTGGGACCCCGCCCACTAATCTCTCTGTGAAGTTCGCCGCGTCGGTCTCGTCGCACTGCGGCCCGGACAGTTCGGTTTAAGTCTTTGTAAACCTCCGACTTTTTCCAAGAAGCCAACGCATAACTCGGGAACCAATAGAGCTATAGCGCTGCGAAAAAGCGCATTCGATAGCCCTATTAACGCCCTTTCTGAGTAATTTTCTCAGATTTGACCTAACTTCAACGGTTTTGCCTGCAGGGGGCAAAAACTGCAAAAATAGCCGATTTTTTCGGAAACAGTTTTTCTGCAATAACTTTTGACCCAAGCCTTGTACGAGCTTACTTTTACCGGCATCGTGTTCCTCTTGTCAAGATGCATCGAATGAACTATTACTTGACCATGAAAGATCAACTTGAAAATTTGACCTCAGGTCAAGGTCATGACCTGACCGGAAAGGGTCATGTTGCATATCAGTCGATCCGTATCGTCGAGCTGAACACATCTAAGGCGTTTTCATCGCTCTAGCATGCCTCTATCAAAAGTTATTTGCGAAAAACTGTTAGATATCATTCGTGACCTAAGATGACCTCAGGGCATAAACAGGGGTCACGGACACCATTTTCATGTTTCATGAAACTTTTTATGAGGTGAGGTCACTTCAAGTGACCTGGTGACCTGACCTTGAATGACCTTGGTCTGAAATTTTCACAACATGTGTAGAATTGATGTATGATAAGCTGTACTAAAAATGGCGGCGATCCGCGCCACCGTTTTTGAGATATTCCCGAAAAACCACAAGGGGGTGTTCAAACACCCCCCCCCCCCAGCAGGGCGCGGGTTAAAGGGACTATCCCACCTTCTAAAAAGTACCATTTAGGATTCGGAAATGTTACTCATGATATTGTGACGAATTCTGCAAGTTTTAACGCGTTTTCATTGTATACTTTTTGAGATATTGCGACTTTTATATTTCATCGTGACGTCATTTAGATAGGATCTGTGACGTAATGTAGGATTTACTTCATGTCAATGTGGGGGAAATTTTGCAGCAAATATAGGTATTTGCTCGACTAGGTACAGGGTGACACAAAAAAAAACGGTCATCACCAAATTTCGAATAACTTCGGAAGTTTTATTCAGATCATCACCAAACTTCGGCCACTTAAGGTCACACCTATGTAGCATACATCCACGAAGTTTCAAGTCTTCACTACGAATACTTTTAGTACAGTGTGTGTTTTACTGACGCTCCACAATGTGCTCCAGGTGAGCGCCACGGCGCTGCAGGGCGTAGGCACACTTGCATCCGGCGGGCAAAGTTGTCGATAACCCGATGGCTGTGCACTTTACAGAGTGCAATGGCCTCTGGAGACAGTGCTCAGGGGGTGTGCTACCCCTGAAACGTTATTCTTATCGGGTTATCGGCAACTTTGCCCGCCGGATGCAGGTGTGCCTACGCCCTGCAGCGCCGGGGCGCTCACCTGGAGCACATTATGGAGCGTCCGTAAAACACACACTGTACTAAAAGTATTCATAGTGAAGACTTGAAACTTGGTGGATGTCTGCTACATAGGTGTGACCTAAAGTGGCCGAAGTTTGGTGATGATCTAAATAAAACTTCCGAAGTTATTCGAATTTTGGTGATGACCGCTTTTTTTTGTGTCACCCTGTATATAGGTATTTGGACTGGAAACGCGCGGATAATGTGAGCTGACATACGCCAAATCGCGAATCCGGCCGAACATGGTCACGAGAATCAGGTCACAGGTCAAAGGTCTTTTGGGTCAGGGTCATGAAATTTTCAGAGTAGGTGTAAAACTACACCCCCTACAAAAAAACGACCCCCTACACATGCGAGGGTCAATGCTACCAAATGCACTTATCGGTCGCGGTATGTACCTTTTTTCGACATGGTACACCCTCAAAGCTCGTAACGATTCTTCGCTCGGGCGTCGCTCCCTACCCCTCCCCCCCCCCCCCCGCTTCACCGGCCATGGCTGGATTTCTGCACCCACAATGTTCCAGCCGTTCCTACGCCCATGGGTATTTTCATTTTTCTCCATTGACTTATAATGGAAAGGTCACGCTACTTGCCTGACCTTAGGTCACGGATATAAGAAATCCGAGATGTACAAATAATAGGTGCCCATAACACCAAGTAACCCACAGAGTTTGAAACCTCTCTGACAACCACTGCAGGCTGGGCATATTGCAAACTTTTTAGGCTTGGTCAGTTAACTTGACCTGGTGACCTGGCCTGACATAACTAGGGGTAAAAAAATTCACACATTTTCCAAAATTGATGTGCAGCAAGCTACTTCAAGCGGTGCGGGCGCCGCGGTTTTTATTCGCACGCAAAAAACGCGACAGGGTGGTAACTGGTAACATACGCACCCCCCCCCCCCCACATACACACACTGGGGCGAAGGTTAATCACATGATATGGGTATCTACCCGTGCTACTTTAACATTTTCCCTGAATGCTCCTTTTCTTTCACTTCTGCTTTTTTGGCGCTTGATATTTTCTCTGCTCTCCTGGAGAGGTTTCTGATGACTCCGACCTTCACCGCTGACGCGTGATTTGAGTTGTTTCTTATGCAAGTGTCACTTGCCGTTGGTTTCCTGTAAACAGCGGTTCGAAGACCCTGTGCACTGTCCCTGCTGACGCTGTGCACTGTCCCTGCTGACGCATACATCGAGAAAAGACGGTTGGCCGTCTATTTCCTTCTAGAAAAAAATCGTCAATACCTGAGGTCAAAGGTCATTTGGGTCAGGGTCATGAAATCTTCAGGGTAGGTATAAAGTTTATTAACGCGAGGGTACTGGAAATTTTGTCGCGATCGGCCGCTTTTTACGCGAGCTATTCACGAAAAAAACGAGGGAGGGGAGGGGGTCCATAATTGGACCCTTTCCTATACGGGCGAGGGTTAACCCGCACACCGACAGGGTCCGCGTCAACATAGTTCCGACGGAGGGGATAATCGCCTTCCCCCCCCCCCCCCCCGAGATCTCGAGAACGAAGCAAGATGGTGACAAGTGGTAAACGGCATGGGGTACCCACGGACAAGCTCTACAATTTTTATTGAGGTAATAATTAAGGTAAGGTCAAAGATGACGTCACAGCCGCCAAAATAGCGGCGCTAGGTACGAATATTATTTCTCGAATAGCTTTCTAAGTAGCCAAGACAGAAACAAACTAATAGCACCATCGTAATCCTCTCGTCAACCCGCATCGATACATATACATGTTGACTTCGAGAGGTCAGGGTCAAAGATTGACCTTAGGTTACGTAACCTCAAGATCATTATGTACATCATTCGATGCGCCTTGACGAGATATATACAATAAGACCATCCGCGCGGCTAAAGAGTTATTAGCAAAAAAACCTTAGGTGACCTTTTATGACGTCACAATGACCTTACAGTTGCCCAAGAGAAAAAAAGGCCTCAAGGTAGTCAAGGTTGATCTTACATGAAGTCATTTATGGTATATTAGGCCATTTCCAAGCGTTTTAGTGAAAATATTAGACAGTTAGTGTCCCCCCCCCCATTGACTTAAAGCTATGTAATGGGGAGGTCAATATTTTTTTTCTGACCTTATTTAATCGATATAAAAATTCCGAGATACATAAATTGTAGCTAACAATGACCTCATTACCTACATCCTTTCAAAAGACTCCGTCATCTACTGTAGCTCTGACACGGTGACAAAGCTGCAAAAAGTGATTTGAGGTCAAGTCATTCGAAGTGACCTGGTGACTTGACCTTGAAAGGTAGGGGGTTCAAACTTGCACACAATGTGTAAAATTGATGGAGAAATAGTCATGCCAAATTGCGCGGCGCATAACCGCTAGTTACAAAAAAAAGACCTCAGGGGGAGGCGGATATCCGGCCCAGCGCGGCGCCCCGGTGCGCGGTCGGTGCGCGGACTTATAGGAACGGTAGTAGGTAAGCTAGCTACGCAGTTACAGCTAGTCAGGGGAGCGGTCACACGCCAGGGAGCAGTCTCTTGCCGCGGTGTCGACTGAGTGCCAGTGATACGCACCACTTGTCGAGACACTGATTTCCGCCTGGCAAAAAGATGAACAAATCGATTAAAGGGACCCTCCCACCTTCAAAAAAGTTAATGAATTGGCATGAAAGTGATGTCCCTTGGTTCAGAAAGAGCGAAAACGAATATCTACCAAATTTCACCGAAAATATTCACTGGTTTTCAAGATATTAGGCTTTTACTTTTGTTTACTTTTTGGGATCTCCCCTGTTAATAGCGACTTTATTTGGAAGCAATAATTTGGCAGCCTTAAAGTGCGGCAGACGTTGCGCGCAAAGCAGCGTATACCACCACGTGTTAACGATGGTTTTAGTCTAAGATTTAAAAATCGTTAGATCTTCGCTGACGTCACAAATTCTAAGGGGGCATTCCAATGCATTAGCCCCTTAGAATCCGAAAACTGCAAGTTTGAAATTCCATATCTTCGAATTAAAGCATTTTTCGATGTTGTGAGTGCCCAAACCGGTATTTGCAGGCCATGGCCACCAATTTGGCTATCTCAACTCAAAACTAATGTTAAGGTGGGAGTGTCCCTTTAAGGGCAAGACCCTATAAAGAAAAGGAAAAGAGTAAAAGACAAAGAATTGCTGCCGGCGGGTGGGCGGTGAGGGTGCAGGGGACGTTCACCTGCCGCGTTGACCAGCCGGCTGGCGGTCAGCTGCGCGCCGTGGCCCAATGTGACCGTCCACCGGCCGTCCTCTCGCAGCCGCAGGCCCGTCACCTCGGTGTGCGGCCGCAGCACGGCGCCGTAGTGCCGCGCGCCCGCCGCCAGCGCCTGCGTTACCGAGTACGGGTCGATGTGCCCGTCGTAGGGGTTGTACAGACCGCCCCTGACCTGCCGGCACGAGAGAGCGCATCAGCAGTCCAATTTTCATGAATGTATGAGTGAACCGACTGATATTTGAGAACGGGTACACGGACGCAGCAATCCAATTTGCCGGTTTTTTCCGACTGGCGCCCTTTGGCCACCGAGTCCGAGACATGGTGACCACCCGTTCGGCAGTTCTGAGTTTGCCGATGGGTTTCTGCCGCGGATGGCTCTGCTTTTTAAGTCCTCTCAATTGTTATTACGCTTCAACCAGACGTATAACTGAGTAATGCTGGTGCCGAGACCTTTCCGAACCCCTTCCGCTCCAGTCCAGGCAAAATCATCACATGAACGCTTTCCCTTGCAACTCCCAACTCTGTGCACTTTGTTCATTCTGGTCTTATGAAGCGCATGGCATCCGCACCATTCGAAGTCGAGACATGCAGTCCCGCTGGGGGTCCTGGATTGGATTTCCACGCCCTGCTGGGGGGGGGGGGGTGAACACCCCACTTCTAACTCGGCTCGTGGGCCACGTAGCGATATGGGGAGGGCGGCGTTCGAAAGAGCGTCAAAAAATAAGGAAAAAATTACTTCGGTTACTTTTTGATCAGGTCAAATGTCAAGTCACCAGAGGTCACTGAAGGCCAAAAATCGCCGATTTTCCGGTCAAATTTCGACATCTTTTAACAACTCGACGCACAGCTCGGAAACTAATAGAGCTACAGCGCGCTGTAGCTCTATTAGTGCCGCGTTAAAGCGCATTTGATAAGCCCTTTTAACGTTCCTTCTGAATAATACTTTCATACAGTAGAATCTGCTTAATCAATCCACCTTGGTGATAAGGTGTTTTGGATTTATTAAGTGGTGGCTTTATTAACCGCATTATTGGGATCGGACCGAGCCAACGTGCGCCCCGCCGCAAGACCTCCTCTAAGGAATTTTCACTGGGGGGGGGGGGGGCCAGAGGCTCAGAAGCCAAACCTAGGGTACCCCAAAATCCGGTTTTCTCATCGGATTTAGGCCACTTATTTTTCGTCACAGCCCTGATGCCATGATTTATATTTCTATTTTGGAAAAAAATAAAGAAATAGGCCACCTGACCCTATACTGGTGGATCCAGACCGGCACGGGCAGGGTGACATTTGGGGTAAATATCTCCCGCAGCGTACTCCGAAATCGACGAAAGTTTCCGGCTTTCCGAAAATGAAACAAAGTGCCTTTATCAAAAAAGTATTCAACGGCACAGCAGTGCGTAAGGAATCTAACCGACCGCAGAAAGTGTGAGGGCTTAGGTACCTACCGATTTCCCAAACGCTGCAAACCAACAGCTACCTGCCTGAAAACAGCTCACCATCCTAAAAAGCTACTTGCCTAAAAATGACTCAAGAAACAGGCCACAGGTCAATGAGAATGAGGGTCAGGGAACAGGGTAATTACATTTTCAGGAAATGTGTAGAATTGAAGTGATCACGAGAATACCTACTAAAACTTTTGCCACGCTGGGCCACTTTTTTATGTGAGTTATTCGCAAAAACCTAGGGGTGGGGTCTATCATACCCCGCAATAAGTGACAAGGCTTATCGCTGCTAGTCCCAAAAACTAAGAAAAACTTTTATATCGTGCTATAAAGCTCAGCCGCACTCTTATTTGACCGTAGAAAAATTTCCTCTTCAAGAATAAACCCGTCCCCCCAAAAAAACATAATACTTCTCCGTGTTGAACCGTAAGCTCTTGACTGATTGAGACTATAGAGGGCGACTGTTCGGGCTCTTTCCTTCTCAAAGTGATGCCCCGTTTGGGTTTCAGTCGGCGTCCGATTATAAAATCTGCAATGTCTGACCTCATTCCGCGGCTCATCCTAGGCGGATCTGTAAAAAAAAAAACAGTAGATAAGAAACTAACGATATAAGGAAACTAAAATTAGTAACGTGGTGATCGTGGAGATAGTCTGGATTGTTTGTTTGGTAAGCTTATAGTGAAATTTCCTTGTTTTTCTACGTGATTTGCTTAACTGCGTGCCCCCCCCCCCGAGTGACGCGATTTCAGTTCCACTGGTGGGGGGGGGGGGGCAGCGGCATCACTGGGGGCCGCCCCCCCCCAGTTAACATGTTAGAGGAGGCCCTGCCCCGCCGGTGACCCGGCCAGCACATCGGCGGCTCTCTCTCGTAGATGAAAATCGCCATAGTTTTGCGCGGTGCTTCGGAGTCAATGGATTTCTGGTGACTCTGACTTCAACCGCGACTTCAAAAAACCAACTCCGACTCCGACTCCGGGCTGAGTAATCAACTCCGACCGACTCCAACTCCGACTCCGCAGCCCTGCCAGGTCTGCGGAGCCGATGGATTTTCGGTGACCCCGTGTTATGTTCTTGACACAGCGGAGTATGTAGACGGCGGGGAGCTGGCCTGTACAGTGGTGACATCTAGCTCCGGTAGTTCGGCCGCCGTCCGCCAGGGTCCGCTGTCTCCGTCCATTAGAGCGATCAGCTGATCGTGCAGCGGGACCGGGAGTCTGGTGCTCGGGAGTCCGCCGAGTGCGTGCGTGGAGGCCGGTGGTTTCGTGACGCAGAGTGGTGCATTATGGTGTTCTGTTGCTCGAGGCCAGAAATACAGCGAGGACCGCATCCAGAGCCATGTGTGTACTGAAGTAGTACAGAACAGAGGAAGAACAGAACAAATTGGCGACGAGGATTATTTTGGAAGGATTGCAAGGAACCACGCCAGACGAGAGCCGTCGCCGCCACCGCCTCCGGCATTGGACGAGTCCACTCTCAAATGAAAAGGGGAGGAACGCAGGGGTCAAGGTGAACAGCTGATCAGCTGATTAGAGAAAAAGTAAACAAAGATGGCTGCGCCCTATTTGCCCAGTGTCAGACAGTTCAGAAAGGGTGAAGATTTTGAAGTTTGGATGAAATCACTTGAGTACTATTGTTTAGCGATAGGAGCCGTTGAGCCTGAACGGAAAAAGGGACTGCTGCTGCATCTTTTGGGCCCAGAAATGCAAGAAATATATGAAACTCTGCCAACAGTGGAAGAGGAAGAGTTTGATGTGTTCCAAGTGACAGTTGAATTGAACAGCTGAAACGCTATTTCAAGCCAAAGTCAAACCAAGTGTTTGAAGAAGTTCAATTCCAGATGCTGAAAAGGGAACAAGGAGAATCAGTGGAGACTTTCGTGGCTCGTCTACGCTCACAAGTAAGAAAATGTTCTTTTCAGGATAAGGACATCCATGTGAGAAACAGACTTGTAGCTGGATGTGGCTATCCAAGGCTGCAGGAGAAGCTTTTGGGCATGCCTGACCTAACGCTTGAGAAAGCAGTCAACATTGCACGACTTCATGAAAAAGCACAAGAAGAAGTGGAACATCTCAGTCTGGAGCGAGTGCAAGAGAAGCCAGAGATGATTCATCGAATCAACAAGGGTCCGCACAACCAACAGAAGAAAACTCACAGCCCAGGTGAGGCAGAAAGCTGCTACAGGTGTGGACGTTCAAATCACAAGAGTGAAAACTGCTTCTACAAAACAAGGGAGTGCTACAAGTGTGGGAAGAACAGTGTCCCAAAATTTGCCAGTTTGGGTGGGAAGTGACATCCAAATCAAAATGATTTTCCACTCTCACCTCCAATTTTCAGTGCAATTTTTTGCTCACTATTTTACCAATAAAGAGCATCTGCGTGTGCCTTTTTCTCCCTCCATATTCGATTCGCCTATCTTATAAATTAGCCCACACATCCTCAGAAATTCACAAATAAATTTTTGATCCCTGTTTCCGCTCCGTTTCTGTGCCATTCTGACGGGGAAGTGTCCACTTTCAGCCCTCTTTGTAGTGACGAATATTCCCCTCAGACACCCAAGCCAAAATATAATTTTGGGACACTGGGGAAGAAAGGTCACACAAAAGCCGTGTGCAGGAACCCAGGGAAGAAGACGAAGATGGAAGAGAGGAAGGTGAATACCGTGAATGAATCACCAGAGGTGTATGACATGTATCACATGGCAGAAAAGGCACAACCCTCATATCAAGTGGCTGTAACTCTGGAAAATGAACCAGTCACCATGGATGTGGATACTGGAGCAGCCCGTTCTATCACAGTGCTGCCAGATGGGGAAGGCTGTAATCCTCTATATCAGTTACAAAAATCCTCCAGATTCCTCCAAATCCTATTGGTAGATATAGAAAGGCGGTCTTGGACGCTGCGGGGGGCTATACCCCCAAAAAAGTTTCACCAAATACTAAAAACCCATCGGATTTCGAATCTTTTCGCACTGCTGTGCAGTTTAAAAGATACTTTTCTTATAAAAGTTGTTGAGTTTTCGTTTTATCTTAAAAAAACGAAAATTTTCGTCGATTTCAGGCGCTGCAGGGGGGCCGGGGGCATTTGCCCCAAATGTCCCCCTTAGATCCGCCAGTAGTTTGGTACCCTCGTAAATATAGCTACAGACTGAGACATTCTGCAGTCTCACGGTGATAAAGGACGTGATATATCCTAACGGGTAGGGTGACGCTGGGCAGGAAAATGCCTTTTTAGTCTTGAATGTGTTATATTTTTCCATGAAATTGAATATAATAATCGGGCGACAAATCCTCCAGATTTTCCTCCAGAATCAAAAATCCTCCAAAAGCGAAATTTGTCCGCAAATAGAGTTCAAAATCCTCCAGATTTGCGGAAATCCTCCAAATCTGGCAGCACTGTTCTATCATGAGCTACCTCAGCTTCAAGAAGATGAAGATGAGTAAGAAGATGGAACCCACCAGTGTAATCCTCAGATCATATGGAGGACAGCGGTTGAAAGTGAAGGGCAAAGTGAACGTCACAGTGGAGATCAATGGACAGAGAAAAGACCTGGATCTACTGCTGGTGGAAGGAGATGGTCCTGCTCTGCTGGGAAGAGATTGGATCTCTGCTCTCCAGCTGGATCTGACAGGACTCATCAGTGTGGTTCAGTCAGAGGAAGGAGGGAGCTGGCAAGTTCAAGAGCTCATGAACAAGTATGCAGACTTGTTTTCAGACAAACCAAGTACCTGCA